CATAGCTGCTGTGTCAAGCTCTGTAGTCAAACCTTTGTCCATAACAAGTAACTGCAGCATTCGTTATCAAGTGGGGCTGCAGCCTGCTAGAGCAGTGGCCATCAACCTGTGCGGCATGGCCCCTTTGGCAAACTTCTGTCTCCAAAAATATTTACATTGTGATTCATAAGATTCATAACAGTAGCAAGGTTAGTTATGAAGGAGCAACATGATAATGTTACAGCTGGAGTTCAGTACATGAAGAACTGTATTGAAGGGTCGCAGCGTTATGAAGGCTGAGAACCCCTGTGCTAGAGGGACCCTCCAGAATCTCTAAGGAGAGTTAAGGAGATGTATATGGTTTAAAAAATATGCTCGGGTTATTCTGATATGCTTCCTAAGGAAGAAAATGCTCTCTGTTCTTGAGGTGAGCATTAGAGCCCTACACAGCCCTTAAGTAGCTACTTCTATACCCAAAACAAGGAACAACTTAATTGGGGTGTAATTGACATAATGAACTTGACATATTCAAGGTACAGAGTGTGATAAGTGTCAACATGCATAATCATCACCACTGTCAAGAAAATAAACGTGGGCTGGGGTGATGGCTCAGTTGGTCAGGTGCTTGCCTGGCAAGTATACGGCGAGTATAAATCCTTACTAAAGATTGTGTTTGATCCCCAAAGCCCATGTGGAAAAGCCAGTGCTCTAGTGCAGGGTTGGGGTCCCAGCACTGGGGAGGTGAGGACAGGTGGGTTCTTGGGGTCTGCTGGCCAGACAGCCTCTCCTAGTCACCAATCTCCAGGCTAATGAGAGTGTCTCTCTCTCTCTCTCTCTCTCTTACATACACACACACACACACACACACACACACAAGATAGAAGGGCTAGAAAAGTAGCTCAGTGGTTAAGGGTACCTGCTGTATAATCATGAGAGCTGGGTTCAGATCCTGGCACCCACGAAACAAGCTAGGCATCCCACAAACACATATAACTCCAGCTCTGAGATCTGACACTGTCTTCTGGTCTCCAGGGACACTATACTCATGTTCACAAACCCATAGGGTCTACATTAGGGGTTCTGTTTCATTCTTTTGTTTGTTTATTTTTTCAAGACAGGATCTTGCCATGTAAAAATAAAAATAAAAAGTAGGTAAATAAAATATTTAAAAGCAAGGTGGACTGAAGTGAAATCCTAATTAGTCTTAACAATAAAAACCCAGAGTCAGATATCAGGGTGAAAACTGAAAGATCAGAGAAGCAGAGCAGCAGCCACCAGAGACTTCTTACCTCTATGAATCCTTAGACCGAATGGGTGGGCCTATCTCTACCAATCCTCAGACTGAATGGGCCAAGATCCTGTCTCCACCTCCCTAGTGCTGGGATTAAAGGTGTGAGCCACCACCGCCTGGCTCTGTTTCTCTTTTAGACAGATTCAATCTTGTGTAGCCCAGAGTGGCCTTAAACTCCTGATCTTCCTGCTTCCTCCTCCCAAGTGCTGGGATTAAAGGTGTGTGCCACCTGCCTGGCCTCTGTTAACTAGTGGCTAGCTTGGCCCTCTGATCTCCAGGTGAGCTTTATTTGTCAGAACACAAGCAAAATATCATACAACAGTGGACAGCACCTGAGGAAGCATACGTAAGGTTGTTCTCCAGCATCCTCATGTGCACACACGTACAAAAAGATTAACTCAATAAACTAAGGTTTCTTGTGCTCTTCGCAGCCCCTCATTCCTGCTCCCCATCACCTAGACTCTGCTGCTTTCTGTCTCTAGATCAGTCTGCTCCAGAGCTTTAAACGTGTCCCTTTCTCCCCTCAGACACATACCGAGGCATAAAATGACACAATGCAGGAGTAATCATGAGGCAGATCGGCTCCCAAGATACTAGTAATGTTCTAGTTCCCAGACTATACAGGAGTGGAGTTAGCCTTGTGACCCTTTAAATAATTTAGACCGCATTTGCATGAATATTTCACATTAAAAAGAAGAAGGCCAAGAGTATGTACTTAGCATGTGTAAGGAAGGCCCTGGGTTCAATCCCCAGCAGAAATAAAGAAGGGCCAAGTGGGCAAAGGAAACAGAAGATAATGTCAGCCATCCTGTGTTCACCTTTGCTTGAACTCGAGGCCCCCTGGGTTTATTTGTCTTCGTTCTTCTTGAGCTGCATAGAGAGGGTGAAAGCCTTTCCTTAAGAAGGAAACAAGTCAGGCGTGGTGGCGCACACCTTTAATCCCAGCACTCTGGAGGCAGAGGCAGGCGGATCTCTGTGAGTTCGAGGCCAGCCTGAGCTACCAAGTGAGTTCCAGGACAGGCTCCAAAGCTACACAGAGAAACCCTGTCTCAAAAAACCAAAACAAACAAAAAACAAAACAAAACAAAAAGGAAAACCCAGCACTCTCGAGATAGAAATTGGAGGATCTCTGAGTTCAAATTCAGCCTGGTCTACATAGCAAGTTCCAGAACAGCCAGGACTGCATAGAGAGACCCTGTCTCCAAAAACAGAAAAGAAAGGGACCAGAAATGATCTTTTCTTTTTCATTTTAGGTACTCCAGTAATTAAGGAGGATGAGGAAGAGGAAAGCTGAGGCCGTACTTTACACTTTGTATTAATTTATTTAAATGTTATGAGAACAATAGATCCGTTTGTATGATTGTCTATTTTAAAGATTTTGTGAGGGTGGAGTTGTGAAGACAAAACACCTCTCTCTCTTCCATCCTTTAAAACCCTATCAGTGTTCCTCCCTCACACCATCAGCACCGACTCGAGTCCAGCCCACTTTTGGAAACTACCGATCTCCTGGTTTTGTCCAGTTATGGACCACATCACCTGTCTCCTAAAATGTACATACCAGTCCTTTTAAGAGCAGAGGGACCTGTTGTCTGTACTCAGTTGCTTGGTGGTTTTTTTAGGCCAGGCATGTTAAAGGTATACTTTCAAGTCTGTAAAGGTTCATGTCCTTATAACTCAGAAGCACAAATGCATCCCCCCCACCCCACCCCGACACACACTCACACACCTGCCGGCTCAGAAGGCAGTATGGTGATGGGAAGCATTCCTGTTACGTACAGCTGTACCTAGAGCCCAAAGTCTGCTTGGAGACACTGGGGAAGAAAGGGAGACCGGCTGGCTTGGAGTCTCCTTAGCCCCTGTTATAGTTACGTCTCTTCCAGATATGTGTGCGCGGTCAACTGGGATTTAGGTGTGCTGCCTGGATGTCACTATGTACAACCAGACACCCCATGATCCCCACCAGGGACTAAGGCACCTGGCATGATCTCTCCTTTGATAGTAATGTGGCCGCATTAACTCTTGGGGACCTTGCCTTATGCAAATTTTTTAAAAATAATCTCTTGAATCTTTAAAGCAGTAGTCGATAGTTCTAAGTATCTACCATTGAGATTTTAAAATTTTTTTCCCTAATGATTTAGCCCAGTGCCCTTTGCTTTATGGCTATGAGGGTACAGACTTGAAGACTGAATTTGGTACCTCTAAATAAATGAAATAGTTTTTCAAGATATATTTTTGGGAAGACGTAAGTTAAGCAGCTCTTAAAGTGTATCATGTAAGTGGCATAGAGGGAAGAGAGAGATGTGGGATGGATCCCAGGCAGATGACAGTATGCTGGAGATTGTCTCTTGTGGGACACTGGAGGTGTCTTAACCTCCGATCTGCAAAGCAATAGTTAGGTGTGGAGATAATTCATCATGTAAGAAAAATATCCTGAAAAATGTAAAACACCAACTCCAGACAAAGTCTCCAGTGGGCTGTAATGGAAGCATTGCCCGCAGAGAAGAAGTCAGGCCCCCCTGCCGAATTGTGCCTAAAGTCTCAACAGAGGCCACTGATTCTTGTTCCCACGCCCATGGGAGTCCACCTGTAAGCAGTTACGGTGAAAGAGGGAAGAGTCGCTCTTTGTAATGATTGCCTAAGTAGGCTTGATTTGAGAGATTCAACGGCCATCATTTCAGTAAGAATGACTTTACTCCTCTAAGAGTCAAACTGATCAAAAGGGACCAGTGCTTTGACAATCAACTCTAAATCCAAACAAGAATGCCGAGTCTTGGGCTGGAGACACAGCTCAGAGGCTGCCAGCTCTTGCTCAGGACCTGAGTTTGCTTCCCAGCACCCACGTGGAGGTTCACAACCGCCCGGAACTCCAGGGGATCCGGTGCCCTTTTTTGGCCTCCCAGGGTACCAGGCACACACATTACACAGACACACATGAAGGCCGAACACTCAGACACGTGAAATGATACATTTTTAAAAAGGCTTCTAGTCCAACCCTTATATGCTTCTTCTAAGCTTTTCTGATGGGAAGAAACTTGACCCTGCCGGGCTCAAACATTCAAACCATTGGCATTTCTATTGTGAGCACAGGGGTGAGACTCCATTCTCCTTGGTGATGCAGAAAGCCCAGCTGTTGAGAGGGAACACTGTTGTTACTTGTAGTTTGCACAAATCAAGCCCTGTTACTGTGTGTGGCTGTACTTCCTGAGAGATCCCCTGGGAGTGAGTATGGGAAGGGGATGGCTTTGTAATGTGAAATGACTTATGGTGTATGTTTGTTTTTCCAAATTCTGTAAATGGGAAACCCCTTCCCCCATTTCTTAATGTCTTCTAATCAGTGGTGGTTCTCAGAGATATGTAAGGTGCTTTTCTGTGTCCATTTCACACAAAAATCATTTTTGGTTGCTATCCACAAATATTGGAATGGGTTTAATGCATCTCTGTCTCTGAAACTGAAGCCAAAGGCACTCAGTTAGGAAATGGAATGGAAGGCTAGATCTATGAAAAAGTTAAGGCTAGCCTCTCGGGTTATTCCTTAAGTTATCTTCTACTGCTGAAAATGTAGTTGGGATGCATTTGGCTTGTGCCATTCAGATTGGAGACTGGACCACTTCTGCATTCACGTGAACTTCTGCTGCTCTTATGAAAAATGGTAGAGTGCTGGAATCTGCCCAGTAGTTTAATTTTTCACAGTCAATATGATGTTGGTAGATCAGAATTCTACTTTTCGTATTTCTTGAGCTAATGGCCGTATTGTCTAACTAGGCCTTGGAAGGCTTGCGCTCTGCATGCTGCCCCAGAGGTCCTCAGTATCGGCACTGTTGACATTCTGGACTGCATAACTCACTGTTGTGGGCTGGCTATTGTAGGCCATGTTGCCACAGCCCTGTCTCCCATCCCTGATAACAGAAGATGTCTCCAAACATTGCCCACTGTCCCCTGGAGCAAGGGGACACAGGGACAACCAAATTCTCCCCTGGATAAGAACCAGGGCTTCTTGTTCCAACATTCCTGTCTAGGCTCTGTTCACTGTAGCTCTCTAGTCAGAATTACTGTGAGAAAGTCACACCTTTCACCTCCATGGCTGGAGATGATTTATAGTGTCGCCCTTTGTGCAGTGCTCAGTTCCATGTTCCACAGTCTTTGGAACTCAGGCCTGGATGCTCCAACTTCTATCTGAACGATTTCAACTTGAGTCATGTGTCCCTGCTCATCTTAGGACAGTGATGTTGATTTAGCCTGTCCCTCTCGCTGTCAGCAAAGTCCAGCATTGTGATAGATTGTTTTGTCTCCAAAGCTTGACATTTGGAATATACTTTGGAAAATGTATCTCCCTGCACAAGTTTTTGCGGACTGTGTCAGTCTTTTAATCCAGAAAGCATTGTGTTCAATTGCTCATGCCTGGAAATTACTGGTGCAGACTTCCAGTCCAACTGTGGTCACAGGGATGCTGTTCCTAACTGGTCAGTAACTTGGCATGTTCCTAGAGCTGCCCTCATGTGGCTCTGGGGGGGAAATGTCTTGTTGAACAGGTGTTTGTTCTGATACCTTTCCCAGTGGTCTGAAAGCAAAGTAAGGAACGGCGAGAACCAGATCCACCCTTGGCTGAGAGCTGGTGACATGGAAAGCAGAATTGAAATCTTTACCTGGGTTTTTCTTACGGTTAACATGAGAAAGCAGATGGCCAGCCCAGGAAGTTTGGATTGAATCATCTCCTTTAAAAAATGGGTGGGGGGTAGAGGGAAGTGTCTCGAGGAGTCATGGTCTCTGACTGAAGTTGTAGTCCATAGCTCTCTGAGGTGTGAACAGTAAGCAGCGGTAAAGGGGGAAAACCGATTGCAAGCTGCCCTTGGCCACAGTCCGCCTGGGACACACGCGCTCTGAAGATCCGGGACGGCAGAGCTGGAGCTGTTTCCGACAGCCGACTTGACCATGTTCCTTTACCTTGAGTGTGACACACTCACCCGTCCCATAGAAGTATAGAAGGTGAAAATTTAAAACCTAGGGTTACTTTTGGAATTCCATGTTTATGTACCTATCCCTGCCTTTTATTCATTATTAGTTGTAAGAAAGGAAACTAAAAGGAAAAACTAGACTTCTAGCCTGATACAAATTGGTTCATTTGACACATGGAGAATTTTTTTTTTTCTTGAGACAGAGTTTCCCTGTGTATTTTTGGTGCCTGTCCTGGGTCTCACTTTGTAGACCAGGCTGGCCTTGAACTCACTGAGATCCGCCTGGCTCTGCCTCTAGAATGCTGGGATCAAAGGCATGTGCCACCACCGCCCGACCACGTGGAGAAATTTTAATTAGATTCTCATTAATTTCCCATATTGGGCAGATTAGAGAGACAACTAAATTATGCTCTTAACAAATTTAGCAAGGAGGTAGAGAGAGTAAACTATTTTTTTAGTAGATTTGCACTTTAAAATTGTGAGTGTGGCTGATGGTGGAAACTACTTCCAAAGGGGAGGTGGAGCACTACCCAGCCTGCACTCAGGTGTTCAGACTCAGGCTTCAGTCCTTGCCCACTCAGCTGAAATTGCTGTCTGTCTGCATGGTCAGTTAGGGTTTCCTGCCTTTTCCTGTTTGGGTTGCTGTGTTCAAGGTCATCCCTCGGGGAGGGTGTAAAATAGCATTCCTATTCAGAATAGAAACTATGGGTATTTTCTTTCCACATTTAGATTTTTTTTTCTTTTTTCTTTCTTTTTCTTTTTTTTTTTTTTTGAGGCAGCATTTCCCTGGCTGTCCTGGAACTCACTTTGTAGTCCAGGCTGCCCTTGAACTCAGACCCGCCTGCCTCTGCCAGTGCTGGAGTTAAAGGCATGCACCACTACACCCAGCCCATATCTAGATTTTAAAAATTCATTTTGGTGTTGGCTACATTACATGGGTAGGAGCTTAGCTTCTGGATCATTGGGAGACCCTGTGGAAGATCACTGTGACGCTGTCGCCCAGTGGGACGACTCCTGTCAACGGCCGGTGAATGAAGAGCAGGAGACAACACCGTCCAGCTGCTTCTCCCGGGTTGCTCTGAATGGCCAGGAGCATCATTCTCAAAGCTTTGGCTTCTAGAACCAAGTACATTCTGAAGGACAGTTGAACATCTGTTAATGCCTTGGTAATAATCTTTTATACACAGGACTTTTGTAGCATGACTTTATGACTAAACTTATTGTGTGTTAAATTATTTAGTAATATTGAGTTTCTGAATGTTATTTTGTGAAACTTGTTTTAAAATAGTAATAAATCATGTTATTTTATAACAAAAAAAAAGCCCTTTGGTTCTTATGTTTTAGTTAACATAGAGTGACTCCCATGATGTTTGATTTTTTTGAAGCAATTCAGCTTTTGTATAACTTGTGGTGTCAGGACCAGGGAAGAGAGAGACATAGAGGTGGGGGGTGGGGAGAGAGGGAGAGAGAGCAACAGGGTGGGGGAGGAGACACCTAACTGTTTTGAACAACGTCTCGGTGTGTAGTCCTGAGTGTCTCAGAACTCACTGCATAGACCAGCATCCATGACCCTGACTGTACTTTATTGTACTAAGCATGGATGTGTGCACATGTGGATATGCATGGCTGTTATGTATAGTTAAATAGTAAAAAAACCTCTCTTCATAGGATGTGGTCAATTCTTCAGCTATAAAAAGAACGTATAGGCTAAGCATAGTGGCACAAGCCTATAATCCCAGCACCAGAGAGGAGGACAAGGCAGGAGATTGTAAGTTCAAAGCCAACCTCAGCTATACAGCAATTTGCAGGACAGCTTGCTTCCTCTATACAATATGAAACTTTGTTTAAAAACAACAACAAAAAACAAAAACTGGATGGGGTTGTGGCATCTTGGTAGGTAGAGTGCTTGACCAGCAGGCGCATAAGACTTAGATTCAGTTCTTGCTACTGAAGAAAACAATGTAGCAACCATTGAATTGAGGTCCGGCCAGACAATGTGGGCTGGTGAGACGGCAGAGCAGGTAAACGCATTCACCATCAAGGCTGCCAACCCGAGTCTTATCCCTCGAACCCACATGGTGGAAAGGGAACAGACTCCTACAAGTTGTCCTATACCCTCCACATGTACGTGCCCACACACAAAAAGTGTCCCATGTCCACCTCTAAGAAACCAAGGATGCTGACAACATGAAATATGCAGGACCCATATTTGTGCTTAAGAATGTATATCTAAGTGGAGGAGTTGGGAGTGTGGTTGGTTAGCACATGATAGCAAAGTGTGTGTGCATGCATAAAAGTTTAAGAAATAGAATCTTAGGTCGAGGGACCCACATGGTAGAAGGAGATAATGGATTCCTGCAAGGTGTCCTCTGACTTCCACACGCTTACCGTGACATGCACAGCCACATACATACACACAATATCTTAAAGCGAAAAATCTGGAAAAACACATACCAATATTAGTATTCACAAATTAATATTCACAATTAACAAATGGCACCAGCCCTGTCACCCCATTCTCTGCCCAAGTTAGCTCCCCCACCCCACCCCCGGGCGCCTCCACAAAGCAGAGCCTCAGGGACAGACAGTCATGTGGTTTATATTGTCACACCAGCTCCAATCTTAAACCCAGAGAGAATGCTTCACAGCTCTTCCAGATTTCTGCAGGAGCTCGGGGCTGGGCATCTGCAGTCACAGGCTCTTGAGAGAGAGCCAAGTAAACATGTTTTAAGCCTCTCCTTTTTCTCATTCTGGTATAAAATGACTGCACATGTGTGACTCGGCCATATTTCTTCACTGAAACAAGGTGTTAAGTCACAAAATGAAGAAAGGTTGCTAGAAAACCTAAGTCCCATTTCAAATTTTTCAAATGCCATAGAAATATATTTTCATCTCTTCACCCATTATCACTTGCCATGAAGAAGTCATGTGAAAACTGAACCCACTAAAAGGTATTTCAAAAGCTGCATGTGGCAGCGCATGCTTGTGATCCCAGCACCCAGGAGGAAGAGCGGGAAGACCACGAGTTCAAGACTAGCCTGTGCTACATAGTGAGACTCTAAAAGAAAGAGCTGGGTGTGGTGGCTCATACCTGTAACCCTGGCACTGTGGAGGCTGAGGGCAGGAGGATCGCCTCAAGTTTGAGGCCAGCCTGGGCTACAGAGTGAAATCCAGGCCATCCTCAGCTACGGAGTGGGACTGTGAAAAAGAAACAGAATAACAAGCATCAGAGAATGTGTAGATGATGTTGCGATTTAAGCTCCTAGCAAGGGGGTTAGTTTTTTTTTTTTGACATGAACAAAAATCCCTGTAAGAGGAAAAGGTACAGAGCTGAATTACACTGAAAATTTTTATACATGTCAGGAAAACCAAGATGAGAATTTTCAAATTTTTATTTGTGTACATCTATTTGATAACTTCAAATTTAGGACACTTAGCATTAACATGACCAATGATTAAATGACAAATATTTCATGTGGGGGAAATGTAGCTTGTTCATGGCAGTTCCCGCTATGGTTTATATCTGTATCTTACACCATGAGAAGTCGATTGTGCAGCTCCATAAAAGCGCATTTTTCTAACAGGCCATTTTTAGTCTTAGAATACTTTGCAGGTAAACTGATTCTGATGTTGAGCCATGAGAAATTAGAAATCTGAATTTTCAAGATGAGTAATATCATCAAATAGATTCACATTCTTTCCATCTATATAAATTAGGGACAATGTACAGCCAAACTATCCACAATATTGGTAACAAATATAACAGTTTGTACCGTACAGCCTGTGAGGCAGGCTTGCACTAGGCATCCGAACTTTCAAGTTCACAATCATCTTGACAAAAAGTGTCACAGCTTCACATTTTCCACAGCTGTCAAAGATGTCCCCAGGAGGGCTTTTGGCAAGCGTTTGCTTTAGGCCGAAAAGACGCATCTGTACTGTTGCAGCTCTAGCCAATCACACAGTTCTGTGACCGCTACACGAACACGCAGGCCCGGCTCCCCTATCCCATCCCTTAGAAAACAAAACAAAACAAAATCGGGAGGCTAGGTCTTTACTAAGAGAGGCAGGCTTGTAAGACTGCACAGGGGTAACAAAAGCAGCCAAGCCACCCCGGGGACTCAGATGTGCCCCTCCAGGCCTAGCTGCAAGAGGGCCGCCTCGGCCTCCTCCTCCTCCTCTTTGGCTTCCTCCTCTCGAATCTGCACCAGCAACTGGAAGAGATTGGGTGCGGGTCTTTCCGCAGCCCCGGTCAGCCACAATTGCCTCCGGATGGCCCCACTGTGGTTTGCCCCGGCGATGACCTGCTCCAGGCGCGCCTGGTTTACATTCTCTTTATCAATGGCCCCCTTCTCCACTACCTTTTGCAGCAGAGGCTCCAGGCGGATGACGTACGAAGACAACTTTTCTCCTGGGTTCTGGTAAGTGTTCAGAAACCGGACCTGGGTGTCTCTCGAGCTCTCCACGCTCCCAAAAACCTGCTCGAGAGCCTTCAGGCATTCTGCGGTGGTTATGGCAGGGTTGTTGGTCTTGAGGATGCGAATGACATCGGCAGCCGGGCCTCGCAAACTCTCCATCAGCCTCCGTCTCTTTTCTATATCCGATACCTGCCATTCTTCTATGACGTCATTGGAGTGCTCCAGCCAGGAATCAAAGGTCTCTTCGCCAGGCCCGGGAATGTCCTTCCCAGAGAACAGCGTCAGCTTCTTATACCATATGGATTCAACAAGCGGCTGAATAACGTTATCCAAAATATAGTTGAGCATCTCGGCTGGCATTTCTGGGCCTGGGGCGGGAGCAGGGTTCTGGAACCCAAGCACACGAGCAACGTCTTGCACGGTCCACCCTTCCCTAGCTAGAAAGAGGTGCAGCCTTTCCAAAAACTCAGCATCGGAAGTGGGGGGCTTAAACATCACTTTCCAGAGTCCTCCTTTGCCTGGCATCTCTCTAGGGATCAGGGAGTAGTCCACTGCCCCGGTGAGCTCTAACAAGGCTGCTTTGGCATTTTCTTCCCTCCAGAACATTCTCCCCAGTACTCGATAGGACACCTGGGGCATCGCAGCTTGGAGAGTCTCTTCGATTTCAGCCTCATCACAGTTCACAGGGATCCCCCAGACCAGCAGAGCTCTCTGGGAGTTCACGTCCATCCCCCTGCACCAGTCTTCCAGGAGCGTCATAGCCATTTCGCCCAACTGTCAAGGGTGCCAGGTCTACAAACACCGCTTGGAGAGGCTCACAGTGCTACAGGACCTAGGACAATACAACATGCCTCCCTCCCGCGGGTAGGCCAAGGGGCGACCAAGCTTCAAGCAACCACCATTACCAAATGACACCAGAGTCCTGCCTGTCTGGTCCCTTCCGGATCCCAAAGTCAGTGTCCGGGGAGCCTCGGGTCACTCCGCCTACCACCCGAATGTCGACCTCTTTGGTTCCAGCAGGCGGGGGCTGGCTGCAGCTGTGCGTGGCGTCACCGCGTGGAGGAGGGAAGCCAGGCTGATGGAAGGCGGTGGGCTCCGGGCTGGAGACGGCCGGGTGCGGTCGCGGGGCGTGGCAGCTCCTCCCGCCGCTCCCCGGCCGGCCGGTGGTAGGCGCGGGGGTGGGGGGGTGAAGGGTCGCGCGAGGCCGGGGGCTCGGAAGATGCGGGGAGAGGCGGTACTGAGGTCCGGCGGCTGCGGCAGCTGGCGAGCACCGGGGACCGAGGCCGCAGGGAGGCGCGGAAGGCTGGAGGCCGGTTGGAGACAGCTCTGCTCAGCGCCTACGGCAGCGCGCTCCCGCAACGGCCGCCGCCGCCGTGCAGCTGCAGTGCAGGGCGGGGCCCGTCGGCTCCCCAGTGTCGCCGTGGCAACCGTGTCCATGACGACGCGAGATGCGCGGACTCCAGAGGATCTGGCGGTTGCTATGGTACCGAGGGGTTTGAGGAGTCTATTCTGTGATGGCGCATTTCTTTTTATCCCCTGTATCTCCCAGATTCTTTCTTAACAATATTGCTAAGCATCTTTTTTTTTTTTAAATCTAATTTTGCTGTGGTTTTAAATTGGCCTTATTGATATGCATCCACCGTGACGGATGTCTCATGTTGCTCATCCAGTCTACGCATTCACTCTACGCTGCCTATGAACACACTCAAGCACTCTGACTTCTGTGTACTACCTGATCACACTGGGCAGCTGCTGTTTCTCCCCATGGAAGCAGAAGAGAATGCCATCTATAGGTTCCTGTGAGAGACGGCCTATGCTTTCTTGTTTAAATTTCATATATTAAAAAACAAACAACAACAACAAAAACCTGTTATACTTCTTTGTAGCCAGGCAAACTGCAAACATT